GGGTCCTCGGTTGCCTTGCTGCGGTTGCACAGGGGTTTCCCCTTCGTTCCAGGTGGTCCTTCCTCCATTTCGTTGTCAGGGGTGGAAGGAGCCTGAAGCCCCAGGCTTTAGTGCCCTGTCTCTGTATCCGGGAGCCCCTGTGCGGCGGTGCGTGCATGGTGCTGAAACGCAGGGAGGGGCGTGCCATGCGTTCCAAGGGCTCATGCGCCCTCCACAAGTCAAGTTGCCATAGACCACCAATCACTGACAAAGTAGCACTATCTCACCTGTTCCAGTACTTTTCAAGAAGTAAGGGTAAAACTCCAATAGAAACACAGCAGATAAATATTAGAGAAGGTTCTAACGCTTTCCCACTCTATCCCAAAAGAATAAAATAAAATACATTTTTTTTGGCTGGAGTTCTTCTTTAAAACTTTATATTTTACGAATTGCTGTAGGTGATTATGAAGAAACCCTTTCCTGCATACATCATTCAAATACAATATGGCTGCTTCAGATTGTCTTCAGAGCTCTGCATTTTGTCTGTACTATTGCTACCTCTGTGTTTAATCCCATCCTGCCAGTTTACCATGTTTTTGCTTCATTATGCCACCTCTTTCCTTTTAACATGTGATGGTGAAGCTCCAAATGTATCCCCTGATATCTGAGCCTTTTCGCTCTACTCTTAAACTGCAAGATCTGTTCAGTTACTGACCTTCAGAAGGATATTTAAGTTTATGTGTAATAGATTCATGGGGATTAAAGCTGTTGTGTTTTGGTGCCCATCGAAGCTTGTATTCAAATCACATGCCAGATCATTTATACATCAGCCTTCAGGGGGGAAAAAAATGTTGCACACACAATAATTACTTTTGGGCGGACAGTTCGGAAGAAGGAGGAGAAAATCAATGTTAACATCATACAGCTGTAACTTGCTGCACACAATTGTAACTAATATTGGTATTCTTTCCTTTGAGCTACAGTTTAGCCTTGTTATTTACTGAATGCAAAGGACTTTCATTCCAGTTCTTTAGGTCAGTCCATTCAAAACTGATATTTCATTAAACCACCTCACTATTTCTATTCTCGGGAACGTTAGTGATGAGATGTATGAAAGATCCCTGGTCTGCATACCTGCTGTGCCCATAATGAGGGGCCACTCTCCCTGTTGGACGTTTTATTTAATGTATACTATTGAGATTAGAACAGGAAGTTGGGACACTCAAAGGTTGGGGCTGAACACCCAAAACTTTAGGTGTAGATATGGTTTAGCCCACCACACTCAACTTGTGCCTTAAATATCACTTTTTGAATGGACTGACCCTTAAGCTGGACATGCAAGGTCTCTCTCATTCAGCCCTGCTAAACAGCATAGATGGTGGAATCTCTACCTGCCAGATAATGTAATCCTACAGCTGGCACTGCTGTCTAAATGCTGTTCAGCTGTCAATTTTCGACCTGGCTCCTTTGATTGTTTGTTGAGCCAGATGATGCCGTGTATGGCTAGCATTAGTTTTTTAAAAATGGAATATGGTTGCTTCATGTTTACAGCAATCATATTTTTTGACTCCATTGTCCATCAACCTTTATTTGAAACATGAAACCTCTCTGGCTGTGGGGAACAAGCTTCAACATGGACTCCATTTTCATGGGATGACTCTATTGATAAAAAATGTGCTCTGAACTGTCTCTTTTTTTTGGGTTTCTCTCTTTGGTGGATTGGCTTCTGCTCTGTCTATCTGTGAACCTTCTTTTTACAGTCGATCCCTCTGGCCAAGGTTGACGGTAGAGCCCCAAAAGTAGCGTTTCAAATTTCAACATAACATTGACATTTGCTTTCTATGCTATAACTTGCTGAGCATTGGTTATGGTTGCTGCCGTGTAAACAAAGCGCACCCAGTATATCTGCTGGTAAGCTTTATAGAGTCTAGTTTTCGGGCAGCTGGTAATATTAAGACCTCTTTCCAGTAAGTTGCCTTCAGAATGAAAATGACCATATGACGCATGAATTGATTGTAGTTTATGGGTCGCTGAAATAACTTTTTCTAAAAACAATTAGGATCTTCGGGAGAAAAACTGGAAAGCAATGGAGGCATTGGCATCAACTGAAAAAATGCTACAAGAGAGAGTCAACAAGACCGCCAAGGTTGTAATGCTACTGGTGGGGACATAGCTCGGACTGTGTAGTGTTCGGCCCCTCTACCTGCTGACGTTTAGCCTGGTCTCTTATACGTGGGACAGAGTCTATACATTTAGATGCTGGTTCTGCTGAGATGAAAATAGCAACAATTTTAATCCAGTTGAGGATTTTTCCAATTTTGTTTTAGTCTCTAACAGTTTCAAATGATTGTCTTTGTTCATCATTTTCAACATTTCAATTACCGTGTTTTTAGAAATAGTGCAGTTAGGCGCCATCTGCTCTTTTTATATAAAACATTTCTTCAGTTCAGATCACTAAGGGCAATATACTGATATCACCTACTGCAGAAACACCAGGCCCAACGTTTGTTTTTCCACCCCAAAATAGACCCATTTTATATATAAAGCTGAACTCCAGGCAAACCGCTAAATACGTTGAAATTTATACATGGGAATAGTTTGCCAGCCAAAGGATTTTTCTTTTTGTCCATACAGCCTTGAGATTTGCACAGCTGTGTCACACATGGAAGTCAGACTCTCTACTGTAGTTAAAGGAGAACTATGAGGTGAGTGATTTACACTCATCCTCCTAGTTCGAGCCAACATATGGCATGAAAACTGTCACACGTCGGCTCTATAGATGGGGAAGTGAGGGAACACAAACCGTCGCTCGCTCACTTCCTGATCATCCCGCTGCAGAGAGCAGTGACTGTCAGTCACCGCTCCGCGCAGGGATTCCGCCCTCTCCAATACTCCAGCGCTAACTGGAGGACTGGGTGGGCACAGCTGGCTCTGCCTCTAGACAGGCAGAGCCCGCTGTCATCAGCTAGCTGGGTGGATCTTGACAGTATTGTCAGGATCCGTCCCGGCTACGGCGTTCTCAATATATAGCGGGCAATAGCTCGCTATATACTGAGCTTTGGGTCACGGGAAGAGGTTAGTATATGTCCTCTTGTAACCCTAAAGAGAACTATGGGATAAAAAAGGTTACCTCATAGTTCTCTTAAGAAATGCAATTAGGTCACCTTCTTGTCTCCAGCCTGTGCTTGGACAGTGATGGAACAGAAGTATGTTTATCCAGGTTTTTTGTCAGTGTATTTCCATGTAGTTTGTCTGATTGGCTCTTAGTACTTTTGAGCAGGGCAGGCAGCTGTCTAAGACAATTGCCAGACTTAACCAGACACCTTCCTCTTTCTTGGTGCAGTTGTTCTACACCTTGCTTTACTTTATCTGTAGGCATATAATTTTGGCAGCTGAGATACTTGTTATAAGTTTTAAGTATCCATCTTTTGTTGATAATTTGTTGCACGGACGGCAGAACCAGCATTTAGATTCTCCCACCTAGACACTTGGTTAAATCTGCAGATGGAGCAGTGGCACACTTGTTAGCCCATGCTGTAATGAAGTTGTGGATACTCTCTCTTCATTCGTATCCGTACTGCTCCATCACAGCAGAGATTAACATGCAGCAAAGCCGTGATTGGCTACAATTGAAGCAGTTTCAAATCATAACTATTTGTCTTTATCTGCACTTTGTTTCTGTCTTTTCTTTCTTGACACTAGAGTCCGTTGTATTTCTATGTTTTCTTCCATGGGCATGCCGATCTGTTCATGTGTATTTGTGTGTGTGTGGAGGGTCATTGGCACAAGCTGTGGGTAACAGTAGACTTGCACTTGCTTTGAGTAGGCTGCATGTATAATACATATTAAAGAGGCCCTGTCTCTAGGAAAGACAAACTAAAAAAACTGTTTTATATGGCAAAATGCTGGGCAGCTTCAAACGGCACTTCCTTAGTGGTCTGCCTCAACCTTGCTCTGTGCTGTCAGTGTTTGAAGAAGTCCCAGTTTAAGTCAGTAGGGTTTATAGCCAGACAAAAATGGCAGATAAAAAGGCCAGAAAATATCATCAATAAATTTTGGACAGTGCAGCTTTCTTTACTCACAGCCTTTGCGGAGTCTTTCCTTACCCCAAAACATGTCAATGATTAAGTACTTGCCGTGTGAAATATTTGCGTGCATAATATATAGGTATGGTAGTACTTAGCAGGTGTGGACTTTCTACAATCACAACACTAACTTAGTAAGGGACAAATCTTCTAGGGGATTTGCTATGGCCTTTTAACCTATTTGACTGCCTCTACATGAGCTACAGCTAGCAGTATCTGCAGGAGCTCAATAGATATCAGATCTTCAATTGGTTTTGCAGAAAGTGATCTCATCATGTAATGCCTATGTCTTAAACACACCAGAGATAATAGCAGCATGAGATTTTAATAGTCCAGATTAGGGCTGCAACCAACTAATCCATCGATAATGAGAATAGTTGTCAACTATTCATTATCAATTAGTTGGTTGGATCCCTTAGCTCTCTCCTCCACGCTTGGAGGAGGGCACAGCAAGCAGTGGGCGGGTGCAATAGCCAGCCAGCTATTGCAATTTGAAATGGCCAATAGCAGGCTTGCTATTGCACCAGCCCACTACCTTCTGTATTTACATTCAGCTGCCGTCTGTGGAACCCTGTCACTGGCAGTTGTCATTCCCTGGCTGAAGCTATTCAAGCGCCATGTGCTTGCAATACAATTATTTAAAAAATAAATAAAAGGTGGGAGAAAAGTTATTTTAGGTTTTTGCCTGACATTCTGCTGCGAGAGGTGCGTTGCACTGCCATTCATTTCAATGGCACCCCAAACGCGCCTTGCACCCACAGTGTGATCGCATGCACTGCAAGGCATGGTACCGCAATGCCATGCATTCCAGTGCAGTGCAATTGCAAAAAAATTGTGCAGGCAGTTTTATTCTGAAGTAAACTTTTGTTTGTAACACTGCATTTGTGTATTTTGTTTAAATTAAGGGTGGTGTTTTATTCAATTTTTTTAAAATCCGATTAATCAAAAAAATCGGCCAACTAATCGATTATGAACATAATCATGAGTTGCAGAAATTTTAGAAAATGCACATGCGTTTGAGGGGTTCAGAGGGTTTTCTTAATCAGGGCCCTTACTGTGAGGAAGAAAATAAATATATAATCCTTGGAGATGTTTAATATTGGAGGAACAGGCAGCTTGCTCCGGTCACTGGTTTAGTAACCTTGCCAGACTCAAGCCCTGGTGAAGAAAACCCTCTGAACCCACAAAACATGTATACATTTTCTAAGAAGTCTGTAATTTATAAACATTACCTGGGCTATTAAAATCTTGTGACCCTATCTTGTCTATTGTTATGAAGATGGTACCCTAAGATAAAGAAATAACGTCACCAGCAGTCCAAAAGATGATTTAGCAACAGTCCATTTATTGGCACATTGCCATTCAAATGCATTTGAATGGCAATGTGCCAATAAATGGACTGTTGCTAAATCATCTTTTGGAGTGCTGGTGACGTTATTTCTTTATCTCAGTTGGTCACGGTGCCATCCGTGGTCACTACAAGCACCCACCCGTCCCAACCAGTCCTTTGATATTTCGGTAAGGAGTGCAGCAAGATCTCTGATTCCTGATGGTACCCTAAGGACACAATTTATGGCCATAGCACTTTATAACAGTTTCCAGCGCTCCACCACCAGGTCTCTCCAACATGTAATGCCTTTGGGCAGTTTGAACGTAATTCCACAGGAAACCAATATTTTAGCTTTTGGTAGATGCTGGATCATTAAACAATCTGTCAGTTTCTTAGATCTCTCGGGGCTTCTGTCGGTCATGTCTCTGCTTCTGTGGCAGTTCTGTGGGTTCCGACCTGTAGGAGTTCTAGGTTTCTTTTATATTATGAAGAATGCAACAAGAAGTACTGAAATAGACAAAGGTGGACAAAGGTGGATGGGGACACCTCCAAAAACTCCTAGGTGGTCAGGAGCTAATCAGGAATTATGGCAGTGTGATATTGCTGTTGTAGCATCAAAGCCACTCCTAAATCAGCCCACCAATCCTCGCCCATAAAGAAAATATCTCTTTTGGGCAGAGATGGGATATTGGATGTTAAAACTGTATGTCAATGCAGGTATGCATTATTCAATTTAACCCACTATAAATGCCTTAAAGAAGATCGCTTCTATTGTAAAGCCGAGCCACCGGGAGTCTCTTTAAACGGGCCCGGTGCCAGTGACGTACTATGGGTGTCACTGGTCACTAAGGGGTTAAAAAAAAAGTGCACCTTTAGAAACTCTCAGCTCCTTTAACCTATCCAGGCAAATCAAGGAATTTTGCGAGTATAATCTCTTGCGTCTTTCCTTTGTCTATTTCCCAATAAAGTTGAAAACATCAGCTGCTCAGGTCAGTTTGTAACTTGCAGAAGTTTGGGCCACTTCACCACCATATGTCCTCTGGATTGAATGATGCCCTGCACGCTTAACCCAGAAGACTGAGGACATACTGTGAGTGCAGAACGTCTACTACATTCTTCATTCACTGTGTATTAGTGCAGAGAGCCATCACCTCATGTCTCTGTGCATCATTGAAGAGAGCCCTGCCCCGATAAGAGGTGGAGGATCCTACTTTATACCTTGGGTGTTCAGGACTGGAAAATTGGAGGAAAAAAACAATACCGGGGGGGGGGGAGGTTACGCCACATGGGTGAGGTGGAAGCCAAGCGTTGGGCTTTAACGCCGGTTCCACCAGCTGCACGTTTCTCTGCGCTCCGTTCCTCTGAATGGTGGCCGTGTAGTAAGGGAGTGAAGGAAGCAAAGTATGTGGTCCTGGTGGGACACCATTACAGTGAACTTGTTGTTTTGCCATGCATTATGCAAAGCACTTGTTCTTTTTAATACCATCATTCTCATTGTCTTGAAAGTCACAATGAAACATACAATTTGTGTTCACCCTCCTTTGCCATATCTTGTTTTCTCCAAAACTACAGGTTCTCTTAACAGTAGTGGTGTTGCCCTGGATTATTTTATGAAATATTTTACGTGATTGTGATGGTGCTTCCGTCACACAAGTACAGCATGCTGTGGATACATTATGTGGGATTGCTACTGACCTGCCTGCATCTAATATCTAGAGTGCTAGAATGAATGGATTCATCTTTAAAGTAAACCTGCTAAAAAAAAAATATGGGCACTGTTTGCTGGCGTCTTTCTTAAAATGCTAGTTGCTGGCTGTTATGCTCATTCTTCAGCCTTGGTGCTTTAGGTCACTGAGTTGGAGTCTGCATGTTCCGATCTACACATGTATTCTGAATCAGCGGCTTACAGTATTGAAGTCTGGGGGTTAGTATGACAGCCAGGAAACCAGCATTTTAGTAGACGAGGCCACCAGCGGTAGCTGCCTTGACAGGTTTGCTTTTAATAGAAAACTGAAATCCTTAGAGGCTCCATGTGCATGTGAAATGTTATTTACTCTGTTGTTTGATTTTCCCATCTCCCTCCAACATAACATGTGTATTAGCGCCTTTCCTCCCATCTCTGTCCAGAGTCGTTCAGTTTTTGGCTTGAATGGCAACTGGTGGCTGATATCTTGTGTTCTTGTAGGAGCAACAGCAGAACCTTCACACAGGGGAAACAGAAGCACGAGAAGTTCTGCAGAAAATCTTCCCAAATGTGTCTGTTTCTGCCAGTTTGGTAAGAAATCCAGTTTAAGGATCAGAAAAGCTAAATTAAAAGCTCCGTTTTATTGTAGATCTTTGTGGATCCACATCCACTGTTAGTGGTATTCCATTGGCAATTTAAAATGTAATGTAAAACTAAAGGTTAGGGCCAATTCACTAAACACCCAGTGGCTGGTGTGCCTTGCCTGATCCAGTGCATCACACTGTGTACTTTTTTTTTTGTTGGTAGAACTTTATTGAAGTGTCACAAGTGACATTTTATTCAGGTCTACAGGCACAGCGAGGTGGTTGTACTGCGCTGCATCCCTCCGTGCAGAGAAAAGTACAGCATGTCGCCTTTTTCTTTTTATTAACGCACACCACCGCGTTCCCATAGCAATGCGGTGGTGTGAACCGAGCTAGTCTTGCGTGGGGCTGTGCTGGCTGTCGTTTCCAGCGCAGCCCCAATGCATGTGGTGTGTATCGGCCCTAAAACCTTTTTAGGCTCCATTCACACAGGACCGGTTGTCTGCGTGTATTCAGCCGTACGAAAACGCACGGAACCACTCTAAAAATAATAAAACACTGCACTTTAATGTGGATTGTTAAGACTTTTGCGGTGGCCGCGCGGTATGAAACCGCGCCTCCCGCAAAATAGTGCAAGCGCAATTTTATGGCGGATTCCGCACTTTCCGGCTATAGTAATAGCTGCAAACGCACGGAATCCACACGTATGTTAAACTTTGTGGGGTTTTCCGCGAAAAACGCTACCGCTATGTGTGAATGGAGCCTAAGGCCTTGTTCACACCAAATGCAGAGCAAATCTGCATGAGTTTCAGCACACGCAGTGCAGTGGGATATGCCGCGTTTTTGCTGTGGTTTCTGATGCGTTCCGGGCCGTTTTTAGTAATAAAAAAAATAAAAATTTTGTTTGTTTAAAATGGGCTTTCAGTGCGTTCCAGGGCGTTTGCATGCGTTTTTGATGTGTTTGCATTCATTCCAGAGCAGGTAAAATAGTGCCTGCTGCAGTTTTTTTTACCTGCTCTGGAACGGAATGCTGCGATGTGAACTGGGGCTAAAAATACCATTGGAATACATTGGACACAGTTTTGCTCCGGTCTTAACTGCTCTGCTCCTGGAACGCGCTTGGTGTGAACAAGGCCTAAGGGTCTGGATAGTGTGGAGAGGGATTAGAACCCCTGCCAGACTTCTAGATTCATTCTCTCTAAATGTCCTAATCACCAATGTCACTGTGAATAAAAGTAACAAAGCCAAAAATTAAGGGTTAAAAATAAGGGTAAATCTTACAATGGGGACACTTTTTTCCTGGGACAACTAAGAGGGCATTGCCTTTTCTTCTGAAAGACATCCTTTCATTGCCTGCTAGCTTACAAAACGGGAAGTGAAGAGAAATCTCCCTAAGGAGACACGAGGAAGAAAAGATCAGAAACCGCCAACATTGACTTTAACCCTCTTTCCAAAATGGAAAGAAAAATGTTTTAACTGTAGATATATTTAATGTGTTTGGTAGAATTTTGTGATATCATTTTGAACATCATTGAAGAGAATGTTTTGTCTTCTAGCACCATGGCGAATGGATCCAGGAATATGAGAGGTTGGCTAAAGTTTGTTTAAATGAAAATGGTGGATCTGAGAAAGTGAAGGTAAATTCTGCATGACTTGATGTTGGTCTTGTTGATTATGCCCGCAATGTATGACATGCTTGTAGTTTTTCTATATTTGTCCATATTTCTGGTTCTGTATTGTGGAGAAAGTTAGTCTGGCTGTCAAGTCTATTTGGTAGAAGAAATAGTCACTGGTGATCAGAGAATATCTCTCTTTTTAAGGCCCTGGAGCAGAAGCTAAAGGAGGGAGAGGAAATGCATACACTACTACAGCTCGAGTCTGATAAATACAAATCTGTGCTGGCCGAAACGGTATTGTATCCCATTGTTCATTGTATTATACTCTATAGCGCAATTTTGCTCTCGCATAAGTTACGATTTTGCTGCATTTGATGTTGACATACATAAATGTGAACTGCTTTACTTACCCAAGGATTTGTCATTTCTATTCAGCCAGTTTAGTTATACAGACAACTCTGCCAGACAGCAAAGGCATGCCTTGGACCTCCCTGCAAGCCATTTCTGCAGTCACTTAAAGTGACATTAAACCCATAGATTTTTTTAACATAAACCAATACTATAATGTGTGACTTATTTTAATCCATGGTAGTTTCCCTTCTCTTTGCTGCTCTTCCTTTTGAATCCTCATGTCTTCTCATGCTGAGGGAGAACTTCCCTTTGCAGCTCAGGGCCTCTTCCTGTAGTGCTGGCTCAGGTTACAAACCTATACAAACCTATACACAGACACCATATATCCATTCCTGAGACAAGGCAGTCTGCTGCAAAACAGAAGCTCTGTCCAGCATGAGAAGACAGGAGGATTTAAAAGGAAGAGCAGCAAAGAGAAGAGGAACTACCATGGATTACAGTAAGGCACACATTACAGTATTGTTTATGTTAAAAAATCTGAGGGTTTAATGTCAGTTTAGGAGGCTTGTCTAGGATTCCCCTCCCCAGTTTGATTGGGCATAGAAGGAGCAGCAGCATATGGAGCAGCAGCATATGGATATGTTTTTTTTCCTCTGCTCTCCTTGTGTGAGCATGCTCACTCACAGAACTGTGCGAAGTAACAGAACTCTGATTTATCTTGCTGATCCTCCTCCTTGTCTGCTGTGCAGTGGATAACAGGAAGCCAATACCGAACCACAAAGTCTTTCACGCATAGGATTTGCCTCCCCTCCAGTTATGTCGTCTGCAAGCTCCCTTTTCGCAGTTGACATCTTTGCCCAGACCCTTTCCAGGTTCAGTGTCTTTTGCCATGAAAGCTGTGAATTATTTGGCTCGGTGTGCAATCTTTAGAGACTTGCCAGCTAGAAGGTAAGAAGGTTTTATTGCAGAAGAGACATATAGAGTCTTTACTTTACTGCAATAGCAGCTTTTCTGCTAGCAATTTGTTCCCAACTTTCCACCTAAAAGAGAACCTTAACCCCCCCCCCCACACACACACTTTTGGTGCTCTTCTTATGTGGTAATCGTATATTTCCAAGCCAGCATTTTCTTCTCTTCTCTCTCTGCTATCCTCTCACAGGACCTGTCCCTTTCCCGAGCTGGCCACCAGATCTTGTGCATACGCTGACAGAGATTTGGCACAAGGTCTATTTACATACTGTTCTACGAATGGAGGAAAGTTATGTGATGTCACCTATCCCAGGAGGCATTATTAGAACAGTATGTAAATTGACCAGGTTTCAGATCTAGAGATCTGTGTTGGCTCCATTTATATAAAAGGATTCTTCCCCTGCAGCCACATGGAATATGTGATGTCTGTATTCCAGGAGGCTGCTGAAGTAGAATGAAACATCAGGGGGGTTCAGGGGAAGAATGTGAAGAAAAAAAAAAAGCTCTGCTTTCTTGAGGGAAGGTTATCATGGCAGAAACTTTAAGGTGAAGGTCTGATTTCAGCTAGTTGTATGTATTTTTTAATGAATACCTAACTAATGCTTGTGCTTGCAGGAAGGAATTCTGCAGAGGTTACAGCGCAGTGTGGAGGAAGAGGAGGGACGATGGAAGCTAAAACTGGAGGAGTCTCAGAATGAACTGACAGAGGTATGTGGAGTTGGTGTATTTGTTTTCTTATTTTCTATATTTACTCCATGAGGTGGTGATCATTTAGAGTTTCACGTATAGAAAAGATAGCTCTTTATCTCTCTCTCTCTCTCTATCCTAAATAATGACATGATCTTATATAATACTCTCCATCATCTAGAAGTCTCAGTTTGAAATGATGTGACCTTATCACTTAGGTTTTGTCAGATAACTGTTAAAGGGTCAAATCATTAAAGGAGAACTATGGGGTTAAGGCTTTTCCCCATAGTTCTCATTAGGGTAACGGGAGGACACAAACTAGCATCCTCCCGTCACCCTAGGCTCAGTATACCGCGAGCTGCAGCTCGTGGTATACTGAGACGCCGCAGCTGAAGCGGATCCCGACTTAGATGACTGGATCCGCCTAGCTGCGTGAGTGACAGCTGGCTCTGCCTATGCAGAGGCAGCTGTACCTGCCCCCTCCCCAGTCCGATCCGCCGGTCAGCGCTGGCGGATCGCAGCGGGGAGGGGGGAATCCAGCCCCTCCCTTGTCACGGCAGAGGGCTGTGACAGAATCAAGAGGTGAGTGAACGCCGGTATGTGTTCGCTCACTTCCCGATCTACTGAGCCGACCTGTGACAGTCTCATTGTCACAGGTTGGCTAGAACTATGAGGTGAGTGAAAAGCACTCACCTCATAGTTCTCCTTTAAGACCAGTCAATTGATGGCTTGGTTGTGCAATCTCTAAACGCTCTCTTGATTTACTAAAACTGTTTAATGTGGGAGCCGAGGTAAATATTGCATTCAGTTTGTACCCATTCTGGCAAGCTCTTGCATTTTGTAGCTGCTGGTAAATTTTAAGAAGTTTGTGTGCAATCCGAGTGTAACATGTACAGTCTGCTTTAGCTGTATGACCAGTCTTTTTTCTTTGCATTGCTTCATCACTAGATTATATGTACATCTGGATCTTACATAAGCAAGTATTTATCAGAAAAAAAGTGATCTCCACTAAGAATTGTTTGTATCCGAACTGGCTGCAGTTTGATATTTTTTTGTGCCGTTGAAGCACCTTCTCCACATGTCATAGCTGAACAGATCTGAACCGTGCTATGTGTCCTATATCATCAACTGTGTTTCTGCTGTTGCCTGCACCATGTTAGGAGGCAGTTGTCCTTTACAGCAGAGACAATTACTAACCTTCCAGGGAACACAAGAGCAAAAATGTATCCCATGTATTTAGTGACTTCAACATCATCTCACTTCAAAGCAACACGTCTCATATAAAGAAATGACTGTTTTTTGTCTCTTTTAGGCCGCTTCTGCAGTTCGCACATTGGAACAGGAGTTGGATAAACTAAGAAGACGGAGCAAGGAGGCGGAAAGTGTGAGTTTGCAATTACTGGTCCACGTTGTCTACTTAATGATAAAATGGAGAGTCTCATATATGTACACAAACCCACTAGATGAAGGTCATGGGATGTGGCAGAGAGATTGTATATATAATGGGAAACAAATTAATAGGGGCAGGAAAAAGGTATGGTGCGGTGTTCATAAAAATATATATACATCCAGTAAACTCTCGGTTATCCGGTATTCAACTAACCAGAACTCTGATCTAACCAGAAAAAAAAATCTCCTGTGTACTCACTGTTCCGCTGATATGTGGCAGGTATTATTCTGGAGATGATCGTGTGCCTATTTATCTTAATTTGTTTTTGATGACTGCATTTCAATATTATCAAGTCAATACAGAGTTGGTTATGGTATAGTATGGGGTATGGCATTAGTTAGACCTATTTTTAATAGTAAGTCTCAAGCAACCAGAAACTACATTTATCCGGAATCTACCAATCCTCATGGATGCCGGAAAACGGGGAGTTTACTGTATATGCGAGCACGTGTGTGTGTATATATGTATGTAATGGTTTGGGACCAAACCCGGTCCTTCAGGTATAGCTATTCATGCTATACCTGAAGAAGGACTGGTGTCAGTCTGAAACTGTTGTACAGCTGTATAGACTTTTTGGTGCTGCAGACAAACTTTCTTGACTTTTTTTTTTTCTTCTTGTATACAAGACGTGAGTGCTGGCACTGTGTCTCTGTATGTCTGCGAAGTTTCAGTATGTCACCAGTACCCCAGATTCAAGTGTCCAAAGTCATCTTTATTAACACATGTATATCTTGTTACAAAGAAAGTAATGTTTAGAGTCCCTTCATCAGGCACAATATGGATTTGTGTGTTCACTTTTCGAACACGTATACCTTTTTTTTTTTTTTTTTAAATTTTTTTCCTTTTCTTTTTTTAAACTTTTAAAAACTATTTTTTTTTTTTAAACTGGGGGCACTAAAGGGTTATTGTTCACAGGGGCTTTGGATACTTAGTATTTGGAGGAGCCCCTGTATTCTCCACATAGATACTTTGTAGCACACTGATCCGGCTTGCAGCTCCACAACACCACTGAGCTGCAAGCCGGGTCAGTGGCTGTAACAGCACTGTGATCACTGCGATTGGCTATTGCAGTAATCGCAATGCTGCGACCACCTGATTTGCTTTTGAGGGCCTGCCTCAGACATCAAGGGACCCAGCAACAGCACCAAACCCCCTAAGCGTTACTCCCTCCACGGGCCAGCGCTCATTTTCCCGCATGACGGAATTATTCCGTCACCGGTCTGTAAGTATTTTAAAAATGTTGATGGAATAATTCAGTCATTGGTCAGGAAGGGGTTAATAGTTAATACTTGAATGTATTTTTAAGATTTAACTCCTGAGTTTAGTGTCACTTTAACTTGAAGATAAACAATGCCCAGTATGTACTTTGCCATTTGTTCATTCCTAAAGTGTCTCGTCTCCGCTTTAATGCCGTCACTGACCTCCTTACTATAATGTTTGAAGTAATACTTGTTTATATTTTCTAAGTTGCTAAAGGAGAAAGAGAATTTGGAAACAGGACTGGAAAAGGCAGAGGTTGAGAGAACCACCTACGTGTCGGAGGTCAGAGAGGTAAATGGATTTAAATGTTTTTTGGGTAAATTCTTTTAAGAACGGAGTGTTTGAAATAAAACGGTGAAGGACCAAATGGAGAACGTAATGTTCTCATTTTACTGTGCTGAGCCTGGTGTAGACCAATGATCCAACAGTCCCTCATGAAATAACCATTGTTTCAATGGTTGGGGCTACAACTAGTCTGTATGCTTAAAGGAGAACTATGTGGTGAGTGCTTTTCACTCACCTCATAGTTCTAGCCGACCTGTGACAATGAGACTGTCACAGGTCGGCTCAGTAGATCGGGAGGTGAGCGAACACATACCGGTGTTCGCTCACTTCTCGATCCTGTCAGGCTCTCTGCCGTGACAGGGGAGGGGAGGGATTCCCCCCTCCCCGCTCCGATCCGCCAGCGCTGACTGGCGGAACGGACGGGGGAGGGGGCGGGTACAGCTGGCTCTGCCTCTAGATAGGCAGAGCCAGCTGTCACTCACGCAGCTGGGCAGATCTCGACATCGATGTCGGGATCCTCTCCGGCGTCTCAGTATACGGCGAGCTGTAGCTCGCGGTATACTGAGCTTAGGGTGACGGGAGGGCGCTAGTTTGTGCCCTGACCCCATAGTTCTCCTTTAAAGTGAATCTGTGCATCATTGAAAGTTAGTAAATGGCTATTACATTTAGGAAATTAGAGGTGAATGGCCAGTGTCTGCAGTGATCCCTCAGACAGCCAAGGAACTCAATCTGTTTTCATCCATCTGTAAACTTTTTGTCTCTTGCTATTGTCAAGAGCAAGTGACGTACCACAGTAGGGTGAGTGAAGCTGTCCAACACAGTAAGGGACCAGGAATGAGATGATGGAGGCAGAAATGGATAGGATGACAACGTTTCAGTTTACCTTGGGGTGCCTGCATTTAATTAAAGCTGTTGAGGCCTGCCTTAAGCAAAAAGCCTTAATGGGGGGCATGAAAAAGGATTAGAACATCAGTCTTGCTCCCATTTTTTTCTGATGGTTGTCAAAAAAGGAAGAAAAGGAAAATCTCCCCAATTCCTGCCTATTTAACAGGTGTCAGACAGAACAGGCAGTAAGGGAAATCCATATATAATCTTCACAATAGGGAAGCATACAGCATGCAACATCTTTTTCCTATTCCTATCCAAACATAAAAGTGACTCTGGCATGAGAGATGTATTGGGGCTGCCATTGCAGGCCTCTTATGAATACTAGATGCATGTCTGTGTCCTCCTCTGTCTGGTATTTTTCGGTTAAAGCAGAACTCCAGGTAAGACTGTTCTTAATCCTTGCAATGGGGCTGCTCCCGCACTGCAAGGGTTAATTAAGTGCTTGTTTTTGTCTAGGTGTTAAAATAAAAAAGTTATACTCACCTGAACCTCAGCTGGCTAGATGCCACAGCACTCCCTCCAGCCTGTCTCCACTGCTGCAGTGATGGTATGTCCCTCGGTGTCCTCACGTCTCATGCATTGTATTGGACATGATGACTCACAGGACCTTAGGCCGCTGCAGTGGAGGGGGAGAGGAGCTCCAAGGAACGGTTTAAGAGCAAGCCAGCTCCGAGGATGGGGTAAATATAACTTTATTTTAGCATTGAGACAAAAATAAGCACTTAACCTTTGCAGTGCAGGGGTAGCCCCACTGCAAGGGATAAGAACAGTTTTTTGCTTTAAGCATCCATATTAAACATGCTGTCATTGACTGTCCAAAAAGTGTCAAAACTACTTGTCTGGTACACGTGTTCCCGGGTCAGCAACTGAAACAGCATTGAAGTAAAAGCATCAGAATGACAACCAGGTAGCTAGCATTCTCAAAGGAGAGTTTAGTAATGGCAGCCTTCATTGATCTCTCATGACAGTGTCCCTTTAAACACCAAAGTTAAGTACAGACATTCAGGCTTACTGTTGTAAGGTCATTTGCTGCGTTGCTGGTATATAATGTGCATGTCGCATCATTCTAAGCTTCATCTTAGTCAGTAAAAGATGCTTACTCCCAAAAAACGAATGATCAGGATCATAAACCCCCTTCTAAGGGACTCCAAAAATGATATTGTTTCACCGAGGTCTAGAGACCATTATAATCAGTGTCTCCTGGATGAACATTTCCATTTATTTCATATCTTGGAGATATCGATCAGAAGAAATGAGGCTTTGAGACCGTTGGAGCGGGGAGGTCTTTACAGCCAAAAGCTACAACCATGAGATCTAGACACTAGAGTCCTTGAGAAATAGAACAGACTGCTAGATGATTCAACCTACTGGCACCCATCCGAAAAGGTTTATTGATCGGCAACTCTATCTTTCTTTATTAGGCACTGGTCACATAGTGTGCCTCTATATATTTCTTCTAGTTGCAGTTGTCTTTTAAAAGGGTGTGCAGGTCCTTTTGGGTTAGCAGCTCCCCAGAGTATGTTCTCTATTCAATGGTCTGGTGACTTCATCCGCCAGTCATTGGCATGGCTTCTGCAGCTTTGTTCCCATTTTGTTCATGCCAATTGCTTATTTTCTAGTGATAAACTGCCCTGTACAGTAATAAGTGTACCCAAAGCAACTAAATCACCACCTGCTAAATGTGACAACTAGGAAGGACAAGCAGCTCACTGTGGACTCATTCCAGAGGATAACTTGATTCTTTTTAATATATTAAAAGGGTAAGTCCACTTTCTCAAGTAAATTTGGGGAAATTGAATTACCTCCTCCAATCTGGCCCTCTCTCCCAGTCCCAGCTATACATCCCTTTCGCTCATTCCCCTCGACCAGTATGAGTGTATCATCCGCACCCCATACTGCCGTGTAGCGCAGCCCTACGCAATGGATTTTGAATTTCACACCCAAATAGGTCCGGTGACCGCGCTGACAAGTGAGAAGCACTTCTTAACAAGAAGCACTTTTCATTAGTCGGCTGGGCCAGAAGCGCTTCTCATTGGGCAGTGCGGTCAGGTGACTGTGCTGATCAATGAGTGCTCTCCTTTTGTGAGCGAAATTCAAGATCCCTAGGGAAGGGCTGTCCTACACGTCACTACGGGGTATGGATAGTACACCTGGACTAGCGGAGGGGAAGGAGCATTCGCCTAAAGGTAAGTATAGCAGGGGATAAAGGGACCAGATTGGAGGGGGTAATTCCATTTTCCCCAATTCACTTAGGAAAGTGGACTTGCTCTTAAATTTCCTTTGCTCCTCTGCTCCATTTAGTGGCAAGATTGCTGTGCAAACGCCATTCACCCAACGTATGACTGGGCAGATGTACTAATCCCTTAAGTGTCTAGTATGAAAATGTCTCTCTTGTGCATATTTACCAGTTCAGATTCTAACGGTAACTTCACGTACGAAAACCAAAAGGAAGAATCAGGCTGGTGGGTATTGGCAGAAAAGAAAGCTTTCAGACACCTTTGTTAAAGTGACATTAAAGTCAAAAATCTTTTTCCCTCCCTCAATGTTAATGTCAGCACTTACCTTAAATTATGTTTCTTAATCTGAACTTCTTCTTACCTGTCCTTTTCATCTGTTCCTCCAGCGCTGCGGCGCGTCTCCGATTCAGCGCTGACTCCTCTGAGCTTGCTGGCACTACCTGTCCCACGGTGTCTGCATGCAGGTCCATAGACTTGCCTTGTGTCTCTCCTCGCGTCCCGGCCGAAAATGTGAACTGCACATGTGCCCGCCCCAAGATGCATTGCGACCGCCCCGCGAATTTTCACATTTTCGGACGGTAGCGCTCGGGGAAGACACAGGCTTTTCAAAGCGGTTGTGAGTTTTTTTTTGTACACTTTTTGCATAGATCGACTGCTTGCTAGCAGTCGATCTATGCAAAAAAAGCGGAGGGTTTAATAACCCTTTAAATATGGCCCATGTGTTCAATGCTTGTGGTGGGAGAGCTGCTTTACAAACTCTGAACTTCATTTCAGCTGAAAGATCTGTTGACTGAATTGCAAAGAAAGCTTGGCGATTCATGTTCAGAAGCAGCAAGGCAGAATGAAGAGCTGACCTTGGTAAGAAGATGTCTCTCTTCTATGTCTCTGGAGACTCCCGCTTCTACCCGTCTACTCAGCTTTCCTGTTGGGTGGAATGAGGAACTGTCTTGTCCCTTTGTCAAGCTTTCAGTCTTTTGCTCGTTTACCTTGCTCACATCATTAAACAATAGCAGTGTTTTTCATTTCTAATCCACTTAAAGTAGTTAACACCAATGCATGCATCAAGGCTGCTTATGCTGCAGATGGACTGAAGCTTTAAGAGTTTTATGAAGCTTGATTATGTAATAATGCAATGACGTTTGTGTAATATAAATATTACTGGAGTTTGATGACAGCTGTAATTGGACCGGTGACACTCAAGTGATATAAACTCAAGAGTTTATATGGAGAACAATGCTCTGTAGGGGATCCATTTTTTGGGTACCCGCTTTCTTGTCACAACCTCTCTGGGTAGCTATGTCCTCCATTGCTCTCTACTCATCCACTCTCTCATTATGTCGACCCACCTATCCTTCCTTCTCTCCTTTACCCACATTTCTGCCATGGACTTTGAAAATTATTGTTTTGGATGGCCCAGTTAGGATCTTGTCCATGTGTTTCTTTCTGTCTGTGTCTATACTTGTGAGATTTATTTATTTTATATGTCAGGAATCTGCACTTGCACTCTTTATTTGTAATAGTAATACAGCTTTACCTCTCAGGGATATGTGTGCATGCTGTTGTATTGTCTTTCCTTTACAACACAAATGTCGGTCTAATATGTCTCCTGCCTGAGCTCTGGGCTGTAGACTGAGTTCTCCAGGATGCTGGAGGCGGGTAGAACGGTCAATTAACAAATACTTTAGTTTTCTGACCGCAACTTTTTTTATGGGCTTTTGGAGTTTCTATTATAAGCACTGAGCCCAGGAAGAAGATAGAATAACGTTACAGCCTGACATGTCCCCCATATCAGGGAAGAGGGGAAAGGATTACCATATTTGCTGCCGTATAAGATGACTTTTTATATTTAAACCCCCCCCCCCGAAAATCGGGGGTCGTCTTATACGCCGGGTATACAATGTGAACCTTTAGTTCGTTTGGGCCAAGCTGCCCAAAACGAACGTCCCTATTCTGTCAGCCCGCTGGATGTGCGGTAATACTGTATGTAGGAAGCTTTGGCTACATACAGTATACCGCGCTGAGCCAATCACGGCGAGCGATGTACATAACCTCTGCCAATCCGAGCAGGCTTTGTATTCATTAATAGAATACATCGCCCGCCGTGATTGGCTCAGCGCGGTATACTGTATGTAGCCGACGCTACCGTACATACAGTATTACCGCACATCCAGCGGGCTGACAGATTAGTGGGTGTATTTAAACAGCTGGCAGACAAGACCCCATCATGGCTCCAGCAAGAAGAAGGAAATCTGAAGCCTCGGAAGGGGGGTAGTCTTATACGATGAGTATAGCCCAAAACCTATGTCTTAACTGGAAAATTAGGGGATCGTCTTATACACCCAGTCGCCTTATACGCCGGCAAATACGGTACTACATATACATGTATGTGTGAGTACACATATTGCTACAAATGCCCATTGAAGACAGGTTCTCTTTACGCTTCAACAGCAGGGCAGATTCCTGTGGAATAGGTCAACATTAATACATAGAGGGGTCAGTCATTTTGGTGTTGAGTGTGTTACTGGAAAACCTTTTTAACCTTTTTGTATTGTAAGGGAAATGTCTTTACTGTAGATTAGGATCCTGGGATACCCCTGTGCTCTGTATATGAATATTTTTGTTCTTTGACCTCCATTTTATAATTATTTATTTTGAACTTTTATCACTAATGTATCGGTAATATGACCCAGTGGAACAAATCTGTGGCTCATAATTTAGCATATAAACCTATAAACTATTTTTGTAACAGTACGCTGCTGAATGATGTAAAACGTACCTGTATTGTAATAAGGAGACTGCTATTGTCATCACTCCTTTTTCTACAGGTAATTAGCATGCTTAAAAACTGTTATATGCACATGTACTCTGATGGGAAGATTGTTGTTGAAATGAAAGGTCTGGTCTCTTTAGGTCTTCAAAGTCTGTAGTATACAGTAAGAAAAACACTTGTTTCTTTTTTTCACCAATAGCTGAAGACTCAACTGAATGATACCTTAAAGAAACTGGAAGTGGAGCAGAGCGAGCGGCAGAAGGTTGCCAGTGATGTGCACGAGGTGAGACAATCAGGTTGCACCACATGTCAAGAAGTCATTAGTCTTTTGTATCCGACGGACTCTGCTTCACCTAATATATTGTGGGACTGAGGAGTGGGGTGATTGGAACATCTGGTATGGAGGTAGAAGTGTTGCATTATGCCAACAGCTCCTTCCATATGATGTAATCCAGACAAGCCCACATTTCCAGGAATTGTTTGTGCTGTTTGCTTGTTATTCCTATGCTGTCAGCTTTCCAAATTCTGATGGTCTGGTCTGAATAAGAGTGAAGTTTATAAGAACTTTTATTTTCTTCTGTTTTTTCTGTTTTTTTCTTGGATGTTCATAGCTTGGCAGGTTGAGTTCTGCCTCTTAATGGTTTATTTTTAAAGCTGAACTCCAGGAAGTAGTAAAAAACTACCCTTGCAGTTGCCCCCCCACCCACACTGCAAGGGTTATATTTCTTTACATCTAAGGGTAGAGGAATAAGCCTTATTGCTCGTTCTGTGGTAGGCTTCCTGCAGCCGCTCCCCCGAAACCTCTTTCCTAAGGCGCTCTGGCCATCAGTCACCGGTCACACACTGACCTCAATTACAATGCCGAATCTTGCATTTGGTGTGCGTGATCTCTGCTGTGCTTGTTAAAACATTCAATAATGCCATCAGAATGTGACAAATGTTTGAAATGTCATTTTGGTTTGAACATTCTTTCTCGAAAATGAATGGAGTTTACCGAATTAAACCCGAATCAAAATACTTTTTCTGTTTGACACCATTAACTATTAGAAAATTGAATGAACATTCTGAAAACAATTTTTTCTAGCCATGTATACCCAGTTTAAGGGCAGGAGGTACTGTACTAGCCAGCTGTTTGCTGCAGCTTTACACAATGCCGTCAAGCTGTTTTCATTCACTGGAGGGGAAGTTGGTTAGGTAACCTAGTGGAGAGGGGGAAGTACGGGGACATTCAGTAGGAAGATGATGATGATCTTTCGTACCTCCATTGAGCAACTATGTGACACAGGAAACTATAGTGAATAGTGGGGAGTGTTCTGTGGTCTGGCAGGGCGTGAATAAGAACTGTAAACTGGCAAGTAAATTAGTTCATGGTTATGTATCCAGCTTTTTGTTTAGAGTTCCTCCTTAAATGAGTATTATAATGAGTGACTTTCCCATTACTGTTGGGGCACTATTCATTGGCTGCATGCAGCATTTTCTGATGCTTTTGATTATTTACTTGAATTATGTGCAATTGTATTTATGCTGCTGATGGCTGTTATCAGTCCACCTTTATATCTCACGATGTGTCTTGTCCCCAATATTCAGGTACAGAAATCGCTGGACCTCCTTCAGGTTGAAATACTCAAGGGCTCCGGAGACTGTAATGTCATAGATTACAGCGGCGAGGTAAGTGAGTGAATATACATTAAGGGGGAAGTGTATCAAAACTGGAGCAGACAAAATCTGGAGCAGCTGTGCATGACAACCAATCATCATCTCTCTTTCATTTTCAAACCTCAGCTGAACAAACTGAAAAGAGAAGCTGATTGGTTGCCATGGGCAACTACTCCAAATTTTGTCTGCTCCAGTTTTGATAAATTGAACTGGTGAGTGAGGCCTTGTCGCATCAGAACAAAATCTCTGGACCAAGTACCATATCATATATGTTGGCCACATGTATGCATATTGTTCATAACGAAGCACATACATTGGCATAGTTTTTTTTTTAAAGGGAACCTTTGTGCCTGCCACAAGGCAACAACCTAAACTGGAATCCAGCTTGGGATGCCAGAGCTACCTGGTGAATCTACCACTTCCTGGTCTGAGGATCAGACACACAACATCAATAAAATATCTATAGAGGAGGAAAGTATATGCAATAATTTGCCTAATATGTGATTTCAGGCAGCACAAGCAGGTTAAAACACATATTTGCTAATTTATCTACCAAAAGATCTGTAATTCTGTCAAGTCAATCTTTTTATTTAGATACATTTGCCACACACGGAACAGACCTTTAGGGGACCTGTCCTGGTTGTTGCATTGGTTATGCTGGATTCTCTAGGCAGGAGTGTCAATGTGTGTTGTGTGCAGCCAAATCAGGATG